CCCTGGAAGATTCAAGTCTAAACTTCAACTCTTTGTCAAGAATGCAATAAAAAATGTAATAGCAAACGGCTTTACAAATTTAAAGCAAACAAACTATATATGCTGGAGAAGCAGAATGCAATATTTAGTAAATCTTAGACTAATGCTAGAAAGCATATTTAAAGCAATGTTATAGTGTAAATAATTATTCATTGACTTCCTCCCAAGCCTCCAGTCCTTCAGTTCTTTCTGTCCCTCCCCTCAGGCTAACTTGGGCATGTGATTTATCAAAGTGACTTAAGAATCTAGAAAAATTAGTTTCTTTCTTTGCTTCCAGATGCCATCATTCTGGTTCTACTTCATGATTGCTACTTACATCAATGGCAGTCATTAAAAATAACTGTATAGTCACTATTTTGCTATTTTATCCACAGAACCATTGCTCATACAGTTCTGATGTATGCTCAGACCTCACCTGCCTTACTGCCTCCACCAGGTGCCAGTGTGGGAAGTAACTCCTCATCCAGCAGTCAAAAACAGAGCAACTGTAAAATGACTTTTAGTATTTTTCATTAAGGCCCTACTAATATCCCTTCATTCTGAAGAGAGCAAGAAACATAACTGAAAATATTTTTTGTATTTTTATACTTTAAGCTTTATTCAAGAGGAATTCTGCAACTTTCTGGATCTTAATCTAGAAGCAAGAGGGGCAGTTACAGACACAACAGAACCAAAGACAGCAAACACAAGCAAAGACTGTGGCCCTTGCATGTTGCTCTGTGAACGTATTTATGTGACTTTTACAGAAGGTTTGGAAGATGAAGGAGACTAAGGTGGGTTGAACATGTCTTGTTGATGCAGTCACATCAATGGGGTAATAAAAAAAAAAATTAGCCCCACAATAAAATAGGCTCTACTCTGGAGATGTTCAAGACCTGCCTGGATGCCTACCTGTGCGACCTGCTGTAGGGAACCTGCTTTGGCAGGGGGTTGGACTCGATGATCTCTGGAGGTCCCTTCCAACCCCTACAATTCTGTGATTCTGTGATCCCATCAAATACAGACTAAATACAGTAATTTCAGACAGTTTCTTCTGAGTTACGCCCATAATTTATATATAGGCTTCAAATTACATAAAATCCATTATGTCCTTTGGGGATTTGTTCAGTGATTAGCTGGTCTTAAAATGATATTTCTTCATAGCTTGATTTTATGTAGTTCTTCTCCCAACTGTATCATCTATTAATGCGCTTCCTGCAGGATTCAAGAGCTTTTTGCTTCTGAAAAACATTCTATAATTATATTAAAAAATGGGGTTGGAAGTGATACTCTAAAGCCACCTTGTTCCTGATTCATCCTCAAACTGCATCAGCAATACTGATGTAATTCCTGGAGATATTTGCCTCGTCTCTTCTTACAACAGATGGTGATTCCAGCCCCTCCATATACAACATACTCTAATGCTTCACTATTCGGACTGCCAAGAAATGTTCTTTCTTGTGCTTCGTATGAATCTTCTGAACTGCAATTACAGCCCATTATTCCTCATTCACCACGGACATGAAGATGAGTTCATCCCATACTCCTTCTCAATTATTTGAAAACTGCTATAACGTTTCCTTTCGTCTTCTCTGCTGCAGCCAATAAACATTCGAACTTTTCACTGTAATTCCTACAGGCTCCAAATCATAGTTATATCTTATGTCTAAATTCTTGTAAGGTTTTTATTTTTAATGCTGTGACAGCCAAACGTCACAACAGCAGAGGGAAGAAGCTGGAAAATGCAATAGTATTTTTGACCTTATTATTACTGAGGAAATTTCATCTTCATCTTTTTATTTATTACAGCGGTTACTTATCCAATAAGCGTCTACTTGCTTTTCTCCTTATCTTGATGCCCTGCCCTAATTCCTGAATCCTGCTCAGTTCTCTCCCACTTCCTTTTTGGCTCAACATCTATTTGCTCACGCCAGTGTTTTCAGAAGGTTACAATTCAACCAAAGATGATCAGAGTTTTAGGGAAATTGAAAAATAATCCCTGGGTTTATCCACAAATCTTGTTTCTTCTCTTCCAAAGCCAAAAGCAGTTAACCTTATACATTTGATGATGTTATTGCTTTCCTAAAATGCCATGTCAGTTCAGCACATAACATAGAAAACCTTATCTACCCTATTTTTTGTGCAGTTTGTCTTCAAGGCTCTGTATCAGCCCAGCCTTGCTTCACGTCAGTGATGAATGAGAATGAGTAACAGGCTGAAAGTGCAGCTCAGACACACAGAAAGCAGCAACTTATTGCTTACCACCATGATACTTCTTGTGTTTCAGCAAAGACAACCTCTGATGGACTACGTAATCTCTAGGGATCCCTCCCAACTTCAGAGGTTCTACGATACAAAGTGAGCTCTGTGCATATTTTTTTCTCCTTTCAGTAATGAACTGTTGGTCAGAGGGGTTTAAGAAACACTGTGTAGCAGGGACTATCCACATGTAATCAGTTGACATGCAGAGAGGAAAAATCAATTTTGAAATTGCATTACAATGTAAGTAAAAATGGTCTACAGTTAATAAACCTTTTTTTTTTTTTTTTAAATATACAATCAAGAATCATAGAATCACAGAAGACTGCCCTTGAAGACACATTATGAAGATTAACTCTGCTAAGTGAAAAATCCATTTGTGCTCAAGGATTATGAAATGATTATTAGGGTTTATTAAATAAATTATTCCATTTTATCAGAATAACACAGAAATCATAAACATGTCAATATCTTTATTAGAGAGACTTTAAGAGAGGTTTTTAAGGTATGCATGATAATTATTGTTCCATGGAAAGAAGTCTTAAAATGGACTAATGCATATTGAAATGTGGGAACGCACTTGGTTCAGTATTTACTTAAGCAGAAAAACTTCATACTACCTCTTTGGTTCACAGTCCATTAAGATTACATAGGAAATGCATGCATCTGAAACAATTTGATAATTACTGTTAGCTTAATGCTAATATACAACTCAATTTTTGCTTAAAAATAAAGAGCTTTAATTTTATCTTAGAAAAAAATGTAATGTGCTAAGCAGTACAACTTTGTCACATCTATCCTAGATGTTTTGAATCATATGCTCTTTAACATTGTAATAACAGGAAATAGTGGAAATAGAGCTGCTAAGGAAGAGCTTACGCCAAGGCTGATCTCTTTTACCCTCTGCTTGCAATTGCAAGGAGGACACTGCACTCAGCACTGCTGGAAAATGCATTTCTTATCAGAATAAGCAGTTTGTATTAGCATTAATGAGTGGCCAGTGAACATGGCTGCAATCAGCAATCAGCAATGTGAATACGTAACTATATATTTTTTTATTTATTCCTTTACCAGTTTTTTTGTCACTGTAAATGCTTCTCACTAGGATTATTGATTCCCTGTGCATTTCACCAATCTCCTATTCCCGTCATCTTTTCTGTTTTAAAGTAAATGAAATAATCAATACCAAAACAAACCCTCCAAGATAACATCCCTATGCACAATTCTATACAGATCTTAATCCAGAATATCGTCATTGCTGCAACTCAACACTTCATGCATTAATGGGTTAAGCAACAAAGAGATGCTTTGAAGCTGGGAGGCATTCCTCTAAAAAGCAGCATAGACTTTCATAGTCATACACTCAAAATTTGAGCAAGTATTTTCTATTAGACAAAATAATACAATCTTCCCAGGCTCTCTAGGGAAGATGCTTGAATCTTTGCTATTTTCTCAGTAGGAAAGCTCAAAAGTCAGGCTGAGCATTTGACCCCCAGCACACTTATAAAATGGCTGCCATCCAGAAGGACCTGGACAGGCTTGAAAAATGGTCCCATGTAAACAAACCTAATGAGGTTCAACATGGCCAAGTGCAAGGTGCTGTACTTGAGTCGGGGCAATCCCAGATGCGTCTACAAAGAACTCTTTGAGAACAACTATACAGAGAAGCACTTGCAGCCTGGAAGGCCAACAGCACACTGGGTGATATCAACAGAGGGGCAGCAGCAGGAAGTGGAAGGGGGCTGTCCCCCTCTGTTCTGCCCACATGGGGGCCCACATGGAGTGCTGAGACCAAGCCTGGACCTCCAGCACAAGGATGCAAAGCTGCTGGAGTGGGTTCAGAGGAGAGCCAGAAAGATGCCCAGACAGCTGGAGAACCTCTCCTATGAAAAAAGGCTGAAGGAGCTGGGGGTGGTCAGTCTGGAGAAGAGAAGGCCCTGGGGATACCTCACTGCAGCCTTCCAGTACGTAAGCATAGACAGGAGAGGGAGCGACTTTTTACATGGCCTGATATCATCAGGACAAGGAAGAATGGCTTTAAACTATCAGAGGGGAGATTCAGCATGTTAAAAGGAAATTCTTTACTCAGAAGGTGGTGGGGCATTGGCACAGAGAAGCTGTGGATGCCCCACGCCTGGAGGTGCTCAAGGCCAGGCTGGATGGGGCAATGGGCAGCCTGAACCAGCAGGGGAAAATCCTGCCTGTGCCAGCTCCAACACCCAATAATCTCTAAACACCCTTCCAACTGAAGCCGTTCTATGATATTTAAAGGCACATGTGAAGCCTTCAGCAGCACAGAAGCACTGCCTGATGCAGCCAGAGCACCTCAGTGTCGGGGCCATGAACCAGCGTTCTGTCAGCACCTCAGATGGAGTCGAACAACTTCAGCCCATAGGCCACGCCTCCACTGCTCTCCCAGGGATAAAAACTTGTCCCTCCGGCCACCAATAGCAAGAAAACAATCAGGAAGCGGTGGGATGAGTAAGGAGATGAGCCCGCACCCAGAGCTCCGACGACCAGAAGATAAAACTAAGGGCGTAAAATGGCGCGCGGCCACGGCAGGGCGGAAACGGTCACCGCGCCTCCTTCTCTGGTCCCACCCCCTTCGCAGTTGCCTGGCAACGCCTCAGTCAACGCTGGCGCCCGCGCCTCTCCTCTGTACGGGCTTTGGGCAGAGAGGGGGGCGGGACTTCCGTAACGGCTCATCTTCCTCGGAAGTGACGTCACAGTGTCAACATGCAAGATGGCGGCGCATCACCGGCAGAACACGGCGGGGCGGCGGAAAGTGCAGGTAGGTGCGCGGCTGCGGGGAGCAGCGGGGCTTCGGGGCGGCGTAGATACGCGTGGGCCGCCCTCAGGGTGACGGCGGGGCACTGGAGGGGGGCGATGGTTGATGGGAACGGGTCTCCGCGTTGCTCCGTGAAGGAGGTGGTGTTCGGCTCCGCGGCCCGGCTGAGGGGTTGAAGGGAAGCGGTTTCCTCAGCTCGGGGGATGCAGAACTGAGCCACCCGGCCGGCTCCCGGCAGCCGTTCCAAAGGGAAGTCCGCAGACCGGTCAGGCTGTGGCACTGAATGGTGAAAGTCAGGGAAATGGGTTTATTGTGATGTTTCGTTATCTTGTTTGGGATACTGCCGGCACTTTAAATGGTTTTCTGTCTTTCGGTATGGAAGAGGATTAATGTTTTATGCCTACCTTTAGTGGTAAGTGCAAGTTTCAGCTAACCGTTGTATTAAATATATATATATATATATATATATATATATCGATTTGGCTTGAAATAATCTCAGCATCCTTCCAAACAGAGGTGGGTGCTGTGTATTAAGGCATCTTTTGTGTTCTGTCACATAGGGGAAATGTTTTTAGCTTATAGTGGTTTTTTATAGTTAATGTAAGCACTTGGTCAGTGCTGCATAAAGAACCTCCGTGCCCTTCTGAAAAACCCACTGGCGTTTTCAAAAACACAAAGAATAAAATATTGCAGCATCATCTGTAGCATGCACAAGTTCTTGAAGATTGGCCTCCCAAGAAAGGGAAACTTGTAGCTGGCTATTTATTTGATGAACTGCTATCACTGTGTTACTTGATGCTTTTGCTTCTCTATATCCTGCTATACTGATCTGGACTTCAGCCAGCGTACTCCAAGTCTAGATCAACAGAGAATAACTTTGGTTACATGATAAGCACATACAAAGTATTTTATTGTAGTCCTATTATTTCACTCACTTGGTTAAATACACGTTTTGGTCAGGTATTCTCAGTGGCTTTTACATCCGTCAGCTGCTGGTAGAAAGTAAAAACCATTAACAGTCTATTCTGCTTCCCAATGGCTGAGCATTTAATATGTTTCTGCTTCAAATAATAGAGACTTATCCTGAAATCTGATTAGAAAAATGTCCATCAGGCATGGAGGAACCTGATTCTTTTACAGGATATGAGAGCTGGTTAAGATTTATGCAAGTTTGAACTGTTGTTGTCTCTGATGCACCTGTTTTACTGGTCAGTAGAACCATTCAAAATAGCGTGGGATGCTTCTGGATATAATTGTATATTGCATAAGGGTTTAATCAGGATAGGTGTTTCAGACCTCAAAATAACGTGGATAAAGGTAAGAACTATAATTATTTAAATGTAAGGCACTCATTTGAAATGTGTTGGTGTCCCAACTGTAAGGTCCCCTTAACTGGGTGGGAATGGAGGTGCAGGGTTTGGGAGTAGTAAACACCACTGTGTGATGAGAAGCAGTTGGCTGTGTGCTGTGGCTTTCTGATGTCGTACTGTGAATTAATTTGAGGTGAAGCCATTTTTCAGCAGGTGTCTTAAAGTAGCTTCCCTTCAGGAGAAGCTTATAAATGCTTTCCCAAACCTGCTGCTTGTCCAGAGCAATTGTAAGTCTCTTCTCCAAATCCTTTGACAAAACTGCTGAACATCAATATGATTTGGACCAATATCTTGGTTATGAAATTTGAATCAATTTCAAGTGTTTTTATCTTGAAGATAAAGGCCTGTACAGAATAAGAAGACTTTGCACTGATTTTGTCGTATTGATTCACTAAAACATCTTGACAGCAACTGGAAAGTAGTGAATGGGAAAACTTCTGTAGTTAGAAATATTTCAGCTACTGACTTTATTTTTGAATGATAGAACTTAGTAAGGACAGGGTAGGTTTTGTATGCAGTATATTTTTTTTAAAGATGTTATGTGTCATGTTCTATCTAATCCTTACCCAGTAAATTGATTCACTGCAAAAAGATAAGATGAACTCCTAAACACATTACTGTTATTCTGGGCTTGGATCCTCTGATGAAAACTTAAATATCAGTATATTCTTAGTTTTAGAAGCTTAGGTTATTTTAAAGAGTACCATCTGCAGTGCCAAAATGCTGAAGAAACGGCTTGTTGTTTTATCTTTTCCTTAGTACTTACCTGCTTCATCTCTTATTTTTTAATGCAGCCAATGCATTCTAGGGTTCTTGAAAGATATCTTTTCCCAGTTGTCTATGACAGCAGGTGTCTGAGAATTTCCCTCTACTTAAAAAAAAGAATGTGTGCCTTCATACCTTGTCTGTTCACTGTTTCCTCCAGAGGAATGCTGGCATTTTTGAAGGCAGATTCTACCTGTACATAAAGAAAATCTGTCTTAATGTGTGTGTTGTAACTAGGGGAGCAAAACTTCCATCTGGCTAATAGAGTTGATGAAGGAAATGCATTACAGGTGCTGTAAGAACTTGGACTTGTGTACTGAAATGTATCTGTTGATATTACCTGTGTCTCTGGTGCTTTTAGTCATTAAAATGGCTAGTCCTGATCCATTTAAGGTACTGAGTCCCATAAATTCTTTATAGTGAGGGTTCATCACTGTAATATTTCCGCAGTGTTTACTGCAGTGAAGTGTTGTTATTTGTTAGGAGTTTATAAATGCTACAGCATAATAAACGTAAAAAGCCTTGGTCATTATTGAAGTATTTCATGCCACATCTTGCCCTGCCTGGACCATCAAATGGCAATATCACAGCAAGTTCAGTGATCTTTGTGTTTGATGCTGGCTTTGTGAATCAATCAATGCAGTGAACCAAGCAGCAGTGTGCTCTCAGTTGCCTGGTTTGAAATGTCTGCCAGGTGGTGCAAGTCGTGGCTTCCTGATGACCTTCACAGTCCTGTCCAAATGCAGTGCCACCTCATCTGGACTGGGAAAAATGTCTGTGCTGTGGCTTGGAGGAGAATTTAATCACAGAAAAACCTCTTGTATCTACTGTTTTGTGCATTTGTGTACACGTACTTGAGTATGTACTTCATAATTATTGCATTGTTACCATATTTTCTAACAGTTGTTATTTCTATTTTGAGTATCACTCCAATCTAAAACCAAGTAATAATACTTCAGACCTTTCTCCTCAAAAATAAGGCAACGATGGAGAGTGACATGTGGATAACCTGCATTCTTGCTTTGTTGGCCCTAGTGATCTCTAGGCTTTATTGAATGTGACTGCTGTCCACCAGCCTTAAACAACTGTCAGATATTTTAAATCAAATTGCTGCTGTGTTTATTGCTCGATTTCAAGTTCCTTGTTTTGAGAAGCATTCTAGCCCCCTTTTGGCAGACTTTATTTTGTCCCTTTAAATTGCATATTAACATGTAATTAACTATTAACTATACCCGCATCTTCCATTTGCTCTTAAGTCTATCAGAGACCTGTTAACTCTTTGAAAAGATACTTGCTCTCATTTACTCGCTTCTCTCAAAATATGAACAAGAGCTGTAAAGGAGCTTGTAAAGAGCTGAACAGCTTGCATTTGGTATTTTCATTGCTTTTATTCAAAAGTTGGAAAGCAATGTGACTTTGCCCATCTTTCTTGTTTTGTGTGTTAGACCTTGACTTTGATTGTAACGTTCTTTGAGTTAGGTAGGCTGCATGGGCATTTTAACAACACAGATGTGGTGTGGTTGAGGCCAGATGAAGTGCTGCAGGGACATTTTGCCCTGTATGTACAGTCACATCAGAGAATCACAGAATGGCCTGGGATGAAGAGGACCACAATGCTCATCCAGTTCCAACCTCCTGCTGTGTGCAGGGTCACCAACCAGCAGCCCAGGCTGCCCAGAGCCACATCCAGCCTGGCCTTGAATGCCTGCAGGGATGGGGCATCCACAGCCTCCTTGGGCAACCTGTGCCAGTGCCTCACCACCCTCTGTGTGAAAAACTTCCTCCTAATATCTAACCTAAACCTCCCCTGTCTCACTTTAAAACCATTCCCCTTTGTCCTATCACAATCCACCCTTGTGAACAATCATTCCCCCTCCTATTTATACTCTCCTTTCAAGTACTGGAAGGCCACAATGAGGTCTCCCCAGAGCCTTCTCTTCTCCAAGCTAAACAAGCCCAGTTCCCTCAACCTTTCCTCATAGGAGAGGTGCTCCAGCCCTCTGATCATCTTAGTGGCTGCCTCTGGACCTGCTCTAAAATCTCCATGTGTTTTAACAGCAGTGTTATACCAGGTTGGTCAGTGGAAAACATTTTCTTTATGCTGCTCTAAGGTGCTTATTGGCCTGAAAAATTAATTTCATTAAGTCCAAAACTACTCCTTGAAAGAGTTTTCAAAGCACTGGCACTTACATATCCGAATGATTCCTGCTGTTGGCAGGCTGTATTCTGTCAAGCTTAACGTTTTACCCTCTTGTAATTGTTTTCCAGTGTCTGGAAAGGAGGATAGCTTTTGGTTCTCCCACATTGTCTCTGAATGGAGAGCTTTCTTCTTAGCCATATGCAAACCACTGTGTAAATGGTTAGGAGGCAGCATGATGTGAAATGGTTGGGTGAATGGGTTGGCTTGGAAGCATCTGTAGTGCTTTATAACTGTGCTTACTGCAGGAGTCATAGTGGAGAGCATTGTAAGACTTGCAGTTTGTCCCCTTAAATCTCCATTTAATGTCTCTGAATAAAACAATGAAGTGAGCAATACACACTGTGCTGTCAGGTACAGAAGGACTGAAACAAGAATTTCCCTAATTGGAAGAAGACTAAATATTTCTGCTTCTTATGTTAGAAAAGAGATGTGTGTTCTTTAAAAAAGAAAAAAAAAAAACCCTAGAAAATATCAAAGCACTGCCTTTCTCCAATTGTCATAATAGTACTAATAGTAATAGCTGGGATAGAATTTGAACCTGCAGTATTTTGTAATCCTGGTAATACTGGTGGCATCTTCTCCCTGCAAGGCTGAGAAACAGTGTCATCACAGCTTTAGAAAATGTGAAACCTGCTTAGAAAATGAGCCACGAATGCATCATGTTGTTTGGGATCATCCAGAATCTCTGTGCAAAGCAGGGAATTGAACTGAGGATTCTCCCAGTGTAAGCCTGATTTGTAGGGATTACATAATCCCTTGGGCTCCTTGTGTAGCACTGAACATCTTTGTAACTCTTCCCTGTTTTCAGGGGGAGGAAATTGGCTGAGGTTAGTGATGGTGACTTTCAAACTGGCGGACTCATTTAATGCTTTTAAAGCTCTTAGTATTTCCTACCTGAGAACCTCACTGGAATGAAATTAGCTGGTAGCGTTTTGTGGCCCATTCAGTATCTTAATACCATAATCAGGTCTGTGTAAATGTATTTTAGGTCTCCTATGTGATTAGAGATGAGGTGGAGAAGTATAACCGAAATGGGGTAAATGCGCTTCAGCTGGATCCAGCATTAAATAGACTCTTCACAGCAGGCCGAGACTCTATTATAAGGATATGGAGTGTCAATCAGCACAAGGTAAGCCAAGAGGATTTCTCAGTCTAAATCTGCTTTGTGTTTTTTCAGTTAGCACGCTACAGGTGTATACCAGATGTACCAGTTTTAAACAGCCAATCATGGTAGAAAAATGTTTTTGGTAAATGTTCATATTGTAACAAGACGTATTGGAGTTTATAAACCCACGTTTGGGCCAACGTCCTGAAGAACTAATCGCAACTGAGATAAATTCAATATAGAATGTTGCAATTTTCAGTGATAGAGAAGTCATCAAAAAAGATTGCTTAGGTCTGTGTATGTTGTGTTAGTTACAAATGAACTTTTGGTGAACTTTCATATATTCTGGTATCTTGGGAGGATCTCTACTCCTTATCTCCCCTTTATTATTAAGATCAGTTGATCACATCCTGTTAGCTCCACTTTCTTTTTGATCTTCTAGCTAAGGAAAGCTTATTAAAACATTATGCCAAACAACTCTGGCTCTTGGACTCTCCTCTGAGGAGTGGTGTTTCAGACACTTAATTGCCTTGGCCTTTTCTTGGGCTCTCTTCAGTAGTTCCATGTTTCTCTGGTATTGGAGGGCCCAGAACTGGACACAGTGCAGAAGGATCACCTCCTTCTGCCTGCTGGTGATTCTTTGCATAAGGCAGCCCAGGATACCATTAGCCTTCTTTGCAGCAAGGTCACACTGCTGGGTCATGTTCAACGTGATGTCCAAGGGACCCCCGAGTCCTTTTCTGCCAAGCTGCTTTTCACTTAGGCTCCCTCTGAACAAAAGGTGAGCATTATGAATCTGAATAGATTACTGGAAACCAGGGCTTCTATGTGAAATATGCAGGAGATAACACTTCTGTCAGACTCTTTTCAGTGGTGAGCAATAATAGAACAAGGGGCAGCAGGCAGAATCTGGAACCTAGAAAGTTCCATACTAACACAAGGAAGAAATTCTGCGCTGTCAGAGGGACAGAGCACTGGAACAGCCTGTGCTGAAAGGTGGTGTGGTCTCCTCTGGACATGTTCAAGACTTCTCTGGATGCCTACTTGTGTGCCCTGCTGTAGGGACCTGCTTTAGCAGCAGGGTTGGACTCTGTGATCTCTTGAGGTCTCTTCCAGCCCCTAAAATTCTGTGGTTCTATAAGCTTCATGTCTGAGAGATCTTTGTATTGTGTTTTAGTTGTTCTGTTCCTCTGTGTAGCGGAAGTCTAATCCTATGAGTGCAGAAATAACTTTAGCTTGGCAGACACTGCCATTTTGGTTGTTTTTCTGTGATAGAAAACTAAACGTTTTGAGGTGAAATTCATCATGAAATGGGAATGTGTTTAAAATATATAGGGGGTTCCCTGAAAACTACTTTGTGATATTATATTTTAAAAGAAAGGGAATAGTGACTTCAAGCAGCGTCGTGTTAGTCAACTTTTGGTCCATTCGAAGATTGCAAATGTCACAACAGGATCTGATAATTGCATTGTCTTTTCCTTTCACAAGGGGATTTTAAACTTTCTTTTTTGTAATTTTCAGCAAGACCCTTATATTGCATCTATGGAACATCACACAGATTGGGTAAATGATATTGTACTCTGCTGCAATGGTAAAACATGTAAGTACTAAATTGTGTCTTCTGTAAGCATGTAAAATTTATTTGTGTGGTGTTAATGTGCTAAAACACTGTGAGCACGTTTAAATAATCATACCTACACATTCTGTTTTCATTGAATCATTTGTTAAGAAGCATAGAGGATTGTTCAAGCATCTTCTAAGGTAATATATAAGCTATTAAAGTTCACTCTTTATCCTTTCCCATTTAGTGATATCTGCTTCTTCAGATACTACTGTGAAAGTGTGGAACGCACATAAAGGATTTTGCATGTCAACACTAAGGACACATAAGGTGAAAAACATTATTTGGAACTACTGTATATTACAATTGACGACCTTTTAAATGTTGTAATGTAAGCTTCAAGTGTGTAATATCGTTGAGTCACATTGTTACACTTTGTTATAGGATTATGTGAAAGCCTTAGCATATGCAAAAGATAAAGAACTGGTAGCATCTGCCGGGCTGGACAGACAAATATTCCTCTGGGATGTAAATACTCTAACAGCACTGACTGCCTCAAACAACACTGTCACAAGTAGGTACCTGGGGATGGGAGACAAATGCAGCATATTTTATTGAACTAGCATCATCTGTGAGATCATTTTAAGACTAAAGATACCCATTTCTGTGTGCAGATTAAAAAATGAGCAAGAATCCTTAAGTTTTTGAGGGTATGTACTTGGTCCGCTTATTGTGTTGTATAATAGTTGCAGATGTTGAACAGCCAGCAGTCATGATGCTCAGAATAAAGATACAGGTCTATTTGGACCTCTTCTGCTGAGATGTAATGAGCTGTTGTTCATCAGAAGTTCACAGAGCTTTAGCTTAAGAAGCTTTTTGCTCCTTAGCTAATGCAGAAAATGCACTGAGAAATATTCAGAGGGAGAATTTCTGTAATGTGTTTTGTGTTTATTTAGATGCTGCAACAAATGTAGTGGTGGGAAGAACGTGTGTTGTGAATGAACTGGCTTTGCACAGTCCTTTCAAACAGCATTTCATTCAACAGCAAGTGAAGGCTGTGGTTTAATTTGCTGTCTGATTACAGGGAAGCAACGTACACAAGCCAACATGAAAAGGAAGCCTGTTTTTAAAGATTGTCTCTCAGTCAGCATAGCTATAGTTTAAATTGGATGAGGAGTTTTGCTTCTGAGTGACTGTCCCTTCTAGAAGAGGAAGGAGTTGAGCACTGCTTTTGTTACAGCATGAATTTTGTTTCTACGATTCTGTCCTACATTCCCAGTGTCCTCCTGCCTTAGCTCTACATAGGAAGTTTTAAAGCCTTTTATAGGTTATGTGTTTGTTGGACAGTGTGCTAAACTCAAAGATTTTTATTACCACTTTTTAGCTTGCTTGGCTAGGAGAAATCTCTGTGCTTAAATCCAAGCACTTATTAGGAGATCACTTAGAAGTACCATTCTCTAAGCAGTTGAGAGCCTCGAGATTACCTTGCATTGAATCATTGTGGACACCAGGATTGTAGTGACCATAAAAGTGAGGTTTTATACAACACTGGATCACGAATCAGAAAGCATAGCAATATGCTGTCTGCAGTCTTGCTCCTTTTTTTAGCAGAGCCCCATATGTGGAGTAGGATGGCACTATTATAGATCAAAACCTACATTTGATTCTATAGTGGGTTTTTTGTTTTTTTTTTTTGGTTTTTTTTTGGTTTTTTTTTTTTTTTTAGTGAATAAATAAGTACGTTTTCAAGTGGCAACATTAAAATTGAAAATGTTAACTTTTTGCTTTCGAAACAGCTTCTTCCCTGAGTGGGAACAAAGATTCCATCTATAGCCTTGCAATGAATCAAATGGGAACAGTTATTGTATCGGGGTCCACTGAGAAGGTAAGCAAAAATCTAGTAAGGCTTATTCTGCTTCTCTTCAAATCTTAATGTAAAGAGACAACTTTACTGGTGTTCAGTTTTACATCTGTAGCAGCTTTTGTGTTTTAAGTAAGGAAAGTGAGGTTTTCTTGGGTTGGTTTTGTTTTTTTTGAGTGGAAGTTGAAATATCAGTCACCTGTAGATTACGTATCAAAACTATGGCTTGTATAAACATCCGTACATCAGAGATCATTTAATTTCATTGAAAGAGCTCTAATTTTGGGGGCATATTACTCAGCTGATCATACGAACTGAAGCATGTACCACTGGTGGAAAAAGAAATGATACAGCAAGTTCCAAGGCCCCCATGGGGTGGTTAGTAAAGTGAGCTAGTGAAACTTTGTGTTTGATGGTGTTTGTTATAGGGAAAGGTAAAACACCCAGGAGTTCCTTGTCTATATGAAAATGAAAGCAGAATATACCAGCCAGGTTCTCAGAATTCTTTTTCTTTCCACACGTTGTCTTGCTTCCAGTCACTCGCATTCATTAAGATCTTAAGAAGACAACAGAAAAGCCAGAACAAATGCCATTACAATCAAGGGAAGAAAATCTGTCTGTTTATTAGAGATGCATAAGATGTAGTTGTGTATCCTGTTCTAACGAAACATGCTTTTGGTGATGGATGTGTTGAGGGTAAGGGTCAGTTTGTTCAGAAAGGCTTAATTATATAGAGAAAATGCATAAATGGAAAGAATGTTAATGCAGTTATTCTGTGTCTGTTTGTGTAGGTTCTCAGGGTGTGGGATCCAAGAACTTGTGCAAAACTAATGAAACTCAAAGGGCACACAGACAACGTAAAAGCTTTGCTGTTGAACAGAGATGGTACCCAGGTATGTGCTTCTGTTTGAGGCAAGGCATTTTGCAGAACACGGAAATGTCATTAATGTCTTTTCAGCACGATAACTGTTCTGTGTTGTCGATTACAGAAGATATACCAACAGGAATTGCTTAGATGCTGAGTGATTGAGGGGGTGGCTGGCAGTGAATGGTGTTCATGTATGGGAAAGCGATGAATACAAGCTGTCTGGAAATAGTGACGGGAGTTGTTAACTGCCACTTCTCATTTAGCATCATCTTAGTGGAAAAAGAAGAATGATGAAAGCTTTTTATGAAATTACAATGATTGTTGCTCAGTGTCTTTCAGGCAGTTCTGATGGGACTATTCGTCTGTGGTCCCTTGGGCAGCAGAGATGTATAGCCACATATCGAGTCCATGATGAAGGTGTTTGGGCTCTGCAGGTCAATGAAGCATTCACTCATGTTTATTCAGGAGGAAGAGACAGGAAGATCTATTGTACAGATTTACGGAATCCTGATATTCGTGTGCTTATCTGTGAAGAAAAGGCACCAGTTCTTAAGGTAATTGATTTGGCTTCACAAAATCACAGAATGGTCAGAAGGTATCCCTGAGAATTATCTTGTCCAACCATGTGTTCAGGTAGGACCATCTAGAGCCAGTTTCCCAGGACCAGTTCAAGATAGCATTTGAAATCTCCAAGAGGGGATGCTTTGTAACACCTGTTCTGGTGCTTGGTGACCCTCATAATCTATAAAATATTAATAATATCAAAAAAAAAAAAAAGTTGTTTCCTGATCTTCAGAGGGAGCCTCTTGTTTTTCAGTTTGTGCCATCTGCTTCTTGTCCTGGCACTTATCCTGTCTAACAAAACAGTGGCTTGAGGTGTATGCTGACAAAAGGTTGTATGCTGCACATTTTTACCTGACTAGCAACCTCCAGTATTTTGTTTTTTTTTTTTTGTCTTAAATTACATCTGAAACTTATTTGTCTGAAGAAATACCTGATTGCTATCAAAAATGTATAAATTCAGACATTACTGAAATTGAGCATGTTTTAAATATGAAAGGTTTTTTTTTACTGGGCTTTAGTACAGTTTTTAGAAAGCAAATCAGCTGTGCCAAGGCTTGAGATAAAAAAATTAATTGCTTCTTAGAAATATATGCACAGAACTGTATTAGTAATATTTTACATAATCACTGGAACCAGCAGCAAGATTTCTGAACACTGAAACAATGTGATCTTAAACTGGGAAAGAACATGTGCATGAGTCTGAGCCTTTTGAGGACACTGCTTTTGAAGAGTCTGCTGATGGAATGTTTGTTAATTATCTGTAACACTTAATGTCATGGATGGCAGTGGAACGTGTAGGTGTAAAAAGTGTGACTGAAACAGAAACCAGTATATAAGCCATATAAATGTGTATATAGGTATGTATGTATATTGCTTATACACTTAAGCCAATATGTTGGATTCATGAGGAAAGCCATTATACAAGCTGTGCATACACAGAGCAAAGTTAAATTGAGTGACTGAAAGTATCTATAATTCTGTTATCTAGATGGAACTTGATAGATCAGCTGATCCTCCTCCAGCAATTTGGGTTGCAACAACTAAATCCTCTGTGAATAAATGGGTAAGTGAGAAATATTTTATGCTCTTTTGATTCAAATACGTCGTCATGGATTTGCAGTCTTGCTTTAGGATCTAATGGAGTGTTACTTGCAATTGGACTGAGTTGAGATGATCCATAACGTTTTTTCTTTGTTTGTTTAAATTATAGAATGTGAATACTCAAGTTGACCAAAATATACAAATCCTTGAGTTAATTCCTTTATTATCTATGCTGCTTCTATTTATTAAATATCCAACACTGAGTGGTTAACATCTGAACAGCAGCACAAACTGGCACTTCTTAGTCAAGATAAAAGCAAAGTTTTTGAAATGATTGAATGTGTCTTTATTTTTTTTGCTTCTTTAGACTTTGAAGGGAATTCATAATTTTAGAGCATCTGGGGACTATGATAATGATTGTACCAATCCTATACCACCCCTATGTACACAGCCTGACCAAGTTATAAAAGGTAAACAGCTGTTTTCCTGAGTGCTTGTGAAATGTTATCATTAGCAGAAATGGTAGATCTTTAAGACCAGCTCATGTTCTCAGCTGTCTGACACTTTAATTTCTGAAAAGTCCTTGGCTCTGTTTAAGGACTGTTCTGTAATAACTTCATGCATTGCTCTGCAGCAAATGAAAACATCGGTGCTGTCACCACTATTTACATCAAACATCCAAAATACAGCATCGTGTGAGCATCTACAGAGAAAATTAACTCTGTGCTGGGCAAAACCATGATAAATAAAATCAAAGACAGCACGAGTATCATTTATGTAGTGTTAGTTGTGGTTGAATAGCATTTAAATATTGGTGCTTGCATAATAGAGTTAAACCAAAGAATAATCGCTGCTGTTGTGTTATGTGGTTTAATTTACTGTGAAGCTAGACAAAAAGAGAAGTGTAGTGACCTTAATTCTTGTTTGTTTGGCAGGGGGTGCTAGTATCATTCAGTGCCACATTCTTAATGACAAGAGACACATATTAACCAAAGACACAAATAATAATGTGGCATACTGGGATGTCTTAAAAGTAAGTACATGATTTTAGATTAAACATCTATTGTTGTATCAGTAATTATTTTCTGGGGGGGGGTGAGGAGGGGGGGTACTGAAATTTTTTTGTTATGGGAGTTTTTTCTGGTTGAAAAATAAGTCATTTTTCTGTCCTAAGACATAATGCAAAAATGACTTTTTTGAAAGAGGAGAGAAGATGCCTTTCTGCATCTTAAGAGCTTCTTTGCCAATGTTAGATAATAACATCTTCATTTGCTCTCAATTCAGTCCTTTAATAAAGCACGCTCAGCTGTGTTACTGAGCTGCTGACTGAAGTGAGAAAGAAGGGAATGAGAATGAAGAACATGGATTTGTACTAAAAATGTTTCAGAGGACTTGCAGAAAACTGAATGTTTTCTTTTGGCTTGCAGTGGTACATACTGGAGAACAACATTAACATTAACGCCTGCCTTGGTCCTAATTTGGTACCTTCATTCAGTTATTTTTAGCTTTTGTTATTAGGGTTTTCAGCAACTTTTCTTAGCTACAGCTGCATACATACTCACTGTAGAGATGGGTTACTCATCAAGTCAAAGTGTGTTGACTTGTGTTTAAGATTCACTTTTTCTTTCTTTTCCTTCTCTGCTTGTTTGATGCTTTACCTCAGGAAAAAAAATGTGTTCTTCAATTTATGGACAAAAACTCGAAGTTTTAACTTGTGTGTTTCTGTACTAAATTGGTTGTGGAGAAATGATAATAATTTTGAGTGCATATGAAAATCAAGTATAAGTTTCTAAGAGTTGTGTTATGATTCAATGTGCAGAATTGAAACATTCCTGTATCCCTTCTGCTGTACAGGCATGTAAAGTTGAAGACCTTGGGAAAGTAGATTTTGAAGAGGAAATTAAGAAGAGATTTAAAATGGTGTATGTGCCAAACTGGTTCTCAGTAGACTTGAAAACTGGGGTGAGCTACAAATCCTAAATCTCTTCTTCTGGTGTCATATTCTGTATACTATTTCTTCACAACAATTATAACGTGTTCTAAGTTTTGAAGAACTTATCATTTGTCTGATGAGTTTGACTTACGTTGAAGCAAATCAATACATTGTACCTCCATTCTTAATAATCTGTATGACTTCTACACTATTGTGTCACTTTAAATTCACAATACAGTTAGGAGTTAATTTTTTTGCTTTGTATTCCCAGCTGTTCCTTCAGTAAATTTGTTGGGTTGTTAAGTACAACACATCTATTGCATTCTTGCTCTCATGGTCTTTTTCCAACAGATGCTGACAATTACTTTGGATGAAAGTGACTGCTTTGCAGCTTGGGTTTCAGCAAAAGATGCTGGGTTCAGCAGTCCAGATGGTTCCGATCCGAAATGTACGTTTTTACCACTAGTGGTCCTTCTCTGAAACACAAAAGCAGAACCAGTTCCAGTGTTTACATTACAGAACGTTTGTTGGATAAATCAGTTGTTGATTGGGTTTTAGAGAGAATTTCTTGAGACTAAATTTTACAAAGAGTTCTCCAAGGAAAAAAATGTGGTTTTTTTTTTTTCTGAAATATTCAAGTAGTTTTTTCTTCTTGGCTTGGTGCAGTGGAAATGCTAAGTTATGGGCTGAAAAAGTGACTGAGCACCTGGTGAGAAACAGGGCCAACCAAGGGGAGGTCAGGTGCAAGCAGTGGGCCTGACTGACTGGAAGGGTTGGAGCCAGGATCCACCCCTTCCCACACTTCATTTAAGGGTAAACAGTGGAGGTGAGGGCATCTCTTGCCAGAGATCCCTGCTTACCTGAGGCCTTCCAAAGGTAAGCAGCTCTTTTCCTTCATTTCTGCATCTGTGGCTGCTGTATTTGGGCTTGTTCTCATTTGCTGTAGCCAAAGACTTTGCCACCCTGCTGTTATCCCACTTGGTTTTCGACATCCAGGAAGCAAAAGGGGAAAAGTGATATTCCTAAACGTAGAGCTACTATTAAAACTAGAGAATGTTGAGTTAAGTCAATGAACCAGCAGTAATGATTCTGAGACTTGAGTCTTTCTGAAAAATCAGCTTGTTCTAAATGATTTAGCCTGCAGTTTTGAGTTTGTGATAAGCAGATATCTGTGCCAATGATTAGTTTGCTTTGGGAACTGTGGGGAGAATTTTCATCTGTGGATCAAATGTAGGATGTTATAAGTCAATGCTTTTGATGCAACTGAAGTTCTTGCTGTGTCTTGACAGTGAACCTTGGAGGGCTTCTATTGCAAGCGCTTCTGGAGTACTGGCCTAGAACACACATCAATCCAATGGATGAAGAAGAAAATGAAATAAATCATAGTAGGTGTTTTAATATTTTTCTTCCTTTGAGATTTGTTCTTCTCTTTTTATGTTTTTGTTTCTTTAACAGTTGCAGCACTTGTTGCTGATTATCATATCATCTTCTTATTAACAGTTGCTGATTATCATACTTCTTTGTATTGACTGCCCACAGCTTTGGAGTGTAATTCTCAAGCTTTTGTAGTGTTGGCATATTCATGCCACGCTGCTTGTTTCTGTGAGTTGTCGTGGATTAGTGAAATGTTCAGAAAATTCACTGCAGAATCAGAGCCTTCATTTTTCCTTCTCAAAAATAACAATTCAAAGAAAGAGATGAGAACTGCTTCTTATTGTTACTACCAGTTGTTAAAAGAGCTGCCATGAGGAAATCTCTCAAACTGTAGGATTTCTCTCCTGCTCTACTTTAGCATTATATTCATTCCTTCTCTAATAAATAATAGATTTTTCTTTCTTGGGCTCTTTGCTTAATGTGATTTTACTTTTGGAAGATGTGAGTCTAAATACTTAAAACTTATGTTTCAAGGTACTGGAATGACAAAATTAATTTTCTTCAAAAATTGCATAATTAATGCTGATTTTTATTTTTATTTTTTAATTTTTGATTTTGTGTGGATGTAGAATCATTTCTTCAAGTGTTTGAAGACCAGACCACTAACTGTGCAAAAATAAATGAATGTAGAATGCAGTAACTTAAAGAAGTGTGAGTTTGAGCTTTACTAGTACTGTATCTTGACATTTGGCAAATCCACATAGAAAAACAAAGCTAGTATCTTTCTGAGTTCTGAAAACACAGAGGAAAATCCCTTTACTCACAAGTTTCCTTCTGATAGACTTGCTATGTGTTGGAAATGGGGATTTGCTTTCTCTTACAGAGCTGATGATTTTGTTTCATTTACAAAATTAACTGCAGATGGAGAAGATATTTTTTCTGTCTGTGTACACCCAGTTTTAAGGCATAGTGCAGTCTTATTGGTGTGTGTGTTTTTTTTCCAGCAGTGAATGGTGAGCAGGAAAACAGAGTCCAGAAAGGAAATGGATATTTTCAAGTACCACCACATACACCAGTTATATTTGGCGAGGCTGGAGGACGCACGTTGTTCAGGTATAGAATCTCAAAAGCATGCACTAAGTGGCCAAACACTTCCTGCCTTATCAACATGCAGTCACCTGTGTTTGTTGTGTGCTATGCATTGAAGATGTGCCCTTGGCAGACAAAATAAGCAGTTAGTAATACTGTTTTCAGTGTTCAAGCTGACATCTTTGTTGGATGCCAACAAGGTGTGGGGTCTTATGGTGTTGAGAGTTATGATAGCTTTTAGTTCTGTGTTGTAGCTGTGAGGTATTTTTTGGTGCCCTCTTCCTGCAAACAGGTAAACTGAAATTTGTTTTAGAAGGAAACTGCAGTGTTTCAGATTCTTGTAGGACTTTGTTACAGATCTCTTACATTCGTCTCTGAGCATTACTGATTTGGACAGAGTGGCTCCTGCTCACCAGAGAGTTAATACTTATTAACAGTGAATTTTAAAGCTGGGAGGTGGTCCTTTTGGGTTTATTGTTTTTTTCTTTCACAAGCTGCATAGGTTCCAAAACCATGTAACTTTCAGTACGTGAATGGATCAGCAAAATAGGGTTACATTTTTCAGCTTTGAAAGCTGGATTTTTCTTTCCAGTATTAGTGTATATACATCTTGGCTGATGCTTAATATTGCATTCACTCTGTACGGTGGACTTCAGGTGTTATACAGCTTGTTCTCAAGAGAACATTAAAATGACACCATTGGAGGAAACAAGCTTTGCATGTTGCACCTAAGAGTTGGATTGCAGAGATCTCTGGGGAAATACTTGATAATTATTTATGAAAACGAGGTGTGCTTTGCTATGAAGGAATTAACATAAATGTTTGGTTTTGTTTCATTGCTGTATGTGTGCATTCCTTAAAATTATTTTTATTCTTTCAATTCGGTGAGAGTTCAGCAGATATTTTACATGCAGAGCTCTGTTTTCCCAAGCAGAAAAGAACTTTTGTCAGCTGCCTTTCCCCCTTCAGGTTTTGTGCTTACAACACAAAAAACACATGCAGTCCATGAGCAAAGTAGTTCCATGGTTTGTGCTGCAGCCTGTATTTCTCCTTATTTTTGCCTTAGAGATCCTTCTTGCATGTAGTTACACTCATTTTCCTTTGTAGGAAATACCTGACCACTTCCTCAGTAAGCTCGATCCTGTGAAAGGCTAGCTAACCTAGCTTCAAGCACGTTAAAAGGGCACATCCTTTCCTGAATGCTTTTTAATGTGTGTTATGATTGATTTCTGTACACTGAACGTTTCCATTCATAGAGCTGACTTCTCTGCAGGTTACTGTGTCGGGATTCAGGTGGTGAAACGGAGTCTATGCTTCTGAATGAGACTGTGCCACAATGGGTGATTGACATCACTGTGGATGTAAGTTTCCCACTTGTAGGTTTCAGGTTTTGTTTGTTGAAAGTCAACTACAAAATCTTTAACTGAGCTCAATCTGAATAACACGTTCAATTTTTCTGCCTCTCACGTACTGTATTTTAAAATAAGTGTTCTCAAGGGCTGTACTCAACACCCATGAATAAGCATGATTTTTTTTTTTAAGTGTCCAGTTAAGGTTTTTTGTGCATTGAAGGCTTAGAAAAGGATCTCAAATCGCTGTGTGTAACAGGAGTCCTTTTCAAGTGTAGAGCTCAGGTATAGAGAGTAACCTTTACATCGCTGCTGTATTTTCATATTGTCTGATTTGCTTTGAAGCAAACAGTAATTACATTCAGAAGGTAGGTGCAGTATGTGCATCACTGACACTGGAGCACATTAGAAGTGTCAGTAATTTGGAAGCTATCTGTGGTAGTTGCTTATTAAGAACCTCTTGGTTATTGGTAATCAGGAACTGACTATACTTTGCTTACCAGATGGTGGAAATGGGAGCTGATAATAGTTCATTCTAAATTTAACATTTTCCAAATTTATTTCCTTCCAGAAAAATATGCCCAAATTCAATAAGATTCCCTTCTACCTCCAACCTCATTCGTCTTCAGGGGCAAAAACTCTAAAAAAGTAAGTAATAGTGCATATTTGAGTCTCAACATTGCATAAAGGGAATTGTAAGCTCAAAAAAAACATATTGCTGGAGAGAATCTTACTGTGCTTGATTTACTTGTGGAACACAGTTTGCAGTCATTGAAGCAGCAATGTTCTAAAGTGTTCAGTTCTATCAGAATCTTTGGAAGAAAGTGAAGTTTCTTTCAACTGACAATTTCTTAAGTTAATGCTAAGAAATCTCTGAAAAACCAAATAGTGAAATTTGATTTGGTGTTGTTTTGTTTGTAGTGTTCCATCAGAGCACAGAGGAACTTACAGATTGTCCTACTGTCCAGAACTACAATTTCATGTTCTTTTCCTCTTTCTAACAGTGATCAATAATAGTTTTTAGAAGGAAAAGGTACAGAACCTGGCAGGGAACATGGTTTGCCCATCACATGTGGGCTGCATACATTGGAAATCAGTGCAGGTTCTCAAATGTCTAGTCAGTAAGGTGGGCAAGACACCTACCATTTATTTGCAGTAATTCTGAGTGTTTTTTCATAAATGTCTGGTTCCTTTGCTGAGTTCTTCACATCAGAGACAATTGGTGAAAGAGAAGCTCCACAGACTTTGTGTGTGTTGTGGAAGAACTGCCATTTATTTGTTTAAAATTCCCTTTTTGTAATGTAGGAAGAACAGCATATTCTTGTTCCATATCCTCTGTCCTTCTCTTACTAATTCCTTTTCTTTGGAAAGAATAAGGTTTGATTTTTAACCTAATGAGGTTTGATTTCTTGAATTCAGTCTGTCAGATATCTTGCTGCTCTTCTGAGATCCTTTGTGCCACTCTTTGGATTGACAGCTGTTGTGTCACGGTATTTTGTTTGGATGATCCTGTTCATCTTTCTGTATTATAATAGGTGCAAAATTTAATGGTTTGCTTATAGATAGAGTATGATGGAAATAAGAAATAGTTCCCTCAAGTTATGTCTTGCCAATCTTTATTTACCTTCTGTAGAGACCGGCTGTCAGCAAGTGATATGCTTCAGGTGAGAAAAGTGATGGAGCACGTGTATGAGAAGATCATAAACTTGGATAATGAGTCTCAGACAACTAGTTCTTCTAATAATGAGAAAGCAGGAGAACAAGAAAAAGAGGAGGACATCGCTGTGCTTGCAGAGGAGAAAATTGAACTTCTTTGCCAGGACCAGGTAAGGCACTCAGGAGTTTTTAGCTCATGAATAAAACCAGCTTCTAACAGTCAAGCAGTTGTGAATTTCTGAGTACTGAGATGGAAATATACCACAGATTATCTGCTGCATTTAAAAGAACAAACCATCTTATCGTGTTAACTGACAGTTCAGGCAGTAGTGGATGGCTGGGCCAGAGAATTCATGAAGCATGCCTACTTCATTCAGTTCTGACCACCAGCCTTTATAGAATCATGCAATAGCTTCACACGTATGCACAGCTGAGCTCTCCCATATTGCTCTTAGTCATTTTCCTCAAAGGAGGGAGAGGAGAAAAATACAATGGAAAATGGCTCAAGAGTTGAGATTAGGACAAGGAGGTCACTCACTAAGTACCATCACAAGCAAAACAGACTCAGCGTTAGGGAGATTAATGTGATTCATTGCCTGTTATAACTCAAGCAGGGAAAAACTGGAAAATAAATAAATAAATAAAGTTTGGCAGAGTTCTTGACGTGAGCTCTAAAAATCATCCATTTCCAAATTTTAATCAGGAACTTGTTCCTGACATCTGCTTGCATGAAGGTTAAATATTGAGGAAGTGGTTGTTAATGAAATTATACAGTAAGGGGGCAAAGACCTCTCTATAGCACAAGAGTTTGGCTTGCTAGATGACAGATCTGAGCCTTTACATGGTTGATCTCTGGCAGTTCACTCATAGGAGTATATTGCCCAACCACAGTGTTACATCCTTGAATATTCTGACAATGCAGCAGACTTGTGCAGTAAATGACGTTCTTGCTATTCAGGTTTTGGATCCGAATATGGACCTTCGGACTGTAAAGCACTTCATCTGGAAGAGTGGTGGTGATCTGACGCTTCATTATCGCCAGAAATCGACGTGAAGGGGAGCAGTGGACTTACATGGTTACTCATTGACTTGACCATAATGTACTGGTTCCAAGAGTAGTGCTATAGAAGCCCACTGAACCCCTAAGGTAGATGAGACTTCTAATGACTCAGTATGGATGGAAAGTATGCATTTAATTGAAGTGACTAATAGATCTGTAATATAGAGGAAAAAAAACCTGTATGATTTAAACTAAAATCTGTCCTAGTCTCAGTCACTGAGATGGGAGGTCCCTGAGTGGTTGACATTGTTGAGGTGTACAGGGAATGGATGATAATCCAGTGCAGACTTTTGCTTCCTCCTTTTTTGCTGTATTTTTTTTTTTCCAGAACTTTATATTGTCATCTGCTCACGCTTGATATGAAACCATTTCCATCATAGTAATGAGTAGTGGTATTTACAGCATAATTCAGAACTGCACGGGCAGTATTTTTATTACATTCCATTCATAAAGTACCTACAGTGATCTCTCGGGTTACTGAACCATTTCTGTCCCTTAAAGGCATTTAGTAAATAGGTAATGCATACTTCAAAGAACTGGCCTGCTTAATTGCTGATGGAGGATTAACATCAGACTTGTTCTAATACTGTGACTTGAACGTTGCTTTAGAGAGTTGTTGTCTGCAAAACAAGAACACTGGGTAAATATTGTAGCAGGGTCAGTCCAAGGATGCTGTGCATCACAATAGGGTGAACATGCTTTGCTGCAACCTAATGAATTCTTTTCTAATCTATGTAACCAGTTCTGGCAATTTGTGCTCTAAGGACACCGCAGTCTAATTTTTGGTAACTCTGCTCTATGTGACACTTCGTTAAAACTTCAGACCGTTCTGAATATAACTTCCAGTGTTTCACCTCGAACTCCAGACAATTCACAGCAGATTTTCATATTCATGATGTAAAAATACTTACTCTTTTTTTTTTTCTTCCAAAGTTTTATATGCAGTTGTTCTTTTGTTGTAGATCCGGATCTTCTTTTCACTGTTATTTCTAAACAAAGAAAAACCTGTGACTGTTGCAGACTCATAGTAGTCTTTTATAGTTTAACTTATTGGGGGGAGTGGGGGAACGGTGCTTCAGCTTTTGTGGAGAAAATGTGGGATTGTCCCAGGAAAACCATTTGTATCCAGAACAAATTGAAATCCTCATAAAGAAATGATGTAAAGATGACTTGTCTGAAGCAGAAGCACAAGTGCCTTCAGAGGGCAGTACATTAATTGAGTTTCTTTGGCAGACACGTGCTCTTGCCCTTCCTGGGTCTTGCTATCAAGATTTAGGTTGAGGCCTAAAGGAAGTCCCAGTAGGTTGTGTTACTGGGATTGTATTGGTCAACAAAAAGTGAAATATTTTTCATTGTATTTTATTTGAAAAAATGAAATCATTGCCTTCTGCTCTATTAACCTAACTCAACAAACTCATTGCTTGAATAAAAAACGTGGCTCAGAACTAAGCTAGCATGTCTTCTACTCATCTTTTGGAAGGGTTGCTTTCAGTTATTAGAGCCCATTTCTGTGTATGCTCACTTTAATGCGGTTGTGCTATCTCTGCACATTTTTAGTAGTATTTGTGAATTAATGCTTAAAACACAACTGTAATTTTTATTGATAAATTGTTCTGACTTGTATTAACTAATAGCAAGGGTTTGTGCTTTGTTTCAGTAGACTTTTTTCTGGTCATCTTGCTGACCCACCATACATTCTCCCAGTAATTTTGTTAGAAACAACCCAATGTTGTAATTTTTCCTCTTTCCTTTTTTTTTCCAAAGCATCCTAAAACTGCAGTTCCAGGGAAGACTGACAGAGGAGTCTGCAATGCCAGAAGGATAAATGATGTTTCACAATTGTATAAAATAAAAGGCTTTAGTTAAAAGTCTGAAACTGTTTTGTGTATTGGATCACTTGTGTGAGTTTGTAACTTGTATCATTGCCACTTAGTGGCTGAACTGCAAAGGAGTTCCGAGTACTTTGAAGCCTCAAGGAATGGAATGGCTGAGGTAACTGCAGTGCTTTCATCAAATCCTTCCAAGGTGATCTTGTAATGTGGGTGAATATGAGAATGTAGCAGGCCTTCAAATGCGAACTTGGAGCTGCTGTTGAGATGAAGAATGTGCACAATTAATGCTGCTTTTGCAAGCAGTGCTTATTTTCATGCTGTGAGAATACTGTGTGCTAGCAGCAGTGTAGAACATAGGTAGAGGTAGATCAAGTGAGTTTTCTGGATGTAGAAACATTAGTGCTCTAAGTGGCAAATGGGGAAAACACTATTGTGCTTTCTGATTCTGAAAGTGCAGAAATGGAATACTCAGTATTTCCTGTGGGTGCTATCAGTTGTGATGCTCTGAGAGGAGAGAGCAGTAAGGTAGAGGCCAAATGCATTTCCAGAGTTCTCAGAGGGAACAGCAGGTAGGAGGAATCGCTTTTGCTCATCTTTTAATTTTCATCTTGTTTTTTGGAACTGCTTCCTTGAAGTCCTGAAGGAGACAACAAAAGATGCACCACCCAGCTCTTTCAAAGTCAGCTTGAGACACATCCCAATGGTGCATTACAAACAGAGCAAGAGATCGAGATGGCAAGAATCATAGGAAAGGCCATTGAGTTGCAGGAGCTTCTTGAATTCCATGCTCGGATTGGAAAGGCTTTGTAAATCAAGTTTTGAGAGACAGAGCCTGTTATGAGGAAAAAGATTCACTGGGGCAAGTGATGTTTTCCCTTCAGTCAGGGTAGTGCTGAAACCAGCAGTTGTAGGCAGTAGTTATAGTTGAAATATATCATTTTAGGACAACTACTTGAAGGATTTAGTGTGAAATTCAGAAAGACTTAAAGTTATATATATAAAAAAAAAACAACCCTACTTAGAAATGAAGTCAAAGCCTTAAATTCTAACTCATGGCCAGAAGAGGTGGTGGGGGAAAAAAATGTGATTTGGGATTTATTAGTTCAGTTGTTTATATTCTGTAGGAGAGTGACCAGGCTAATTGCCCTGACCTTCAGCCAAGGCAAATTAGTGCTTCCCTGAAGGGAAAAGGATGTTTGAATGATGGCAGCCAGGAATAACAGGTTAGTACCATTAATTAAATGAAATTAGCGACTTGCAGCTGCTCTCACTTGAAAACAGTAGAAGGCAGAGGAGGTGGAAGTTCCTGCAGTAATTCCTGGTACCAGCTGAGATGAAATTCAGAACCCTGCAGCAGCTGAAGCACCCAACTCAAACCCACCAATGCCTGCTTGGACATTATGATCTCTACTCTTATACTGTAGGTAGATTCAAGCATCTTGAGACTTAATCTCCAACCTGGCAGGGGATCAGGAATTGAGAATTAGTGCTAAATGAAGCTTAACCTTCTATTAGAAGAATAGAACATACTAGGCTTTCCTAGACTGCTCTGTCAGACAAGTGTTTCTTGGGCTCAAATCTTCACACCAACTCCTCCCAGTCCCAAGATCCACTTACAATGAAGCAGGCTGGACACAGGCTGCTGTAAGCATCAAGCTCTTTATTCCTATAGCATTTCCAATTCAGTTTTGACACTTTCTCCACTGAAGGTTCAAAAATGTGCTTAGGGTACAGCATCACCTAAATGTATTGCTATAAGCTTAAAAACAACATTGGTAAAGGTGCAATGCTGGAAGCAGTCCTGAACAAACAGTAAGAAATAACAGATCACCTGCGTGCCTTCACTTACAAGGCTTAGGAAATTACCTCTAGCTTAAATTACATTATTATAAACCGTTAGTGTTTGTTTGGATGTTTACTCCTCTAGCAGTCAATTAAGGGAATGAAAGAAGAAATTTATTTTAGCAGCAGTAGAAAGATCAGTATTAGCAGGCCATCCAGCAGACTGGATTTCAAGTCTTTTAATTCTGCAACCTCTACTTAAGGCGTAATCTATTTGTCTTCTAAGCAGGAAGAAAGTATTCTGACCCCCTCCCGACTTCATAGAATCAGATAATAGAATCATAGAACTGCTTGGGCTGGAAAGGACCATTAAGCTCCACCCCCCTCTGCTACAGGCAGGGCTGCCTTGTTTTACATCAAAACTGTGTTTAAAACTAACAATGACTATGGAATATAAAGAACATTTTGACCCACAGGTACCCAGTTCCCTTCATTCGTTGAGGATTTTCACCACCTTAACTGTACCAACTACACTGAGGGTATTCCCAATCAGAAGTAGTAAAATTTAGTGATAAATCACTGCCCTGAGAGGTATAAAAAACACCCTCACGTTGTTCATTGTTCGTTTCAGATTTACTATTCACCACCTACCACGCCTTCAGAAGCTATTTGAAAACAAGTGCAAACAAGATAAAAAATAAAGCTACAAAAAGCAATAAATGCTGCTGCACCATGATGTACCCCCATGTCTTAATGATCTGTAGGAAAACAGCAAATAGAAAAGCAGAGGAAAAGCTATTCCTTTGTCACTAAGGAAACTCAGACGTTTGATTCCATTCAAGACCATCCTCCAACTAGTTTCCACATTAATTTTGCCTTCCACTTGGTGACTCTGGATGGCATTCAAAGTTTGAATGCAGACCAATCTGCTGAACAGTGGTTGCAGAAGACAATACAACATGTAGTTCACCTGGATATGTTTTTTTATAGTGTTGTCTACACTAACAAAATAGAACAGATGTAATTCTTTCAACATCATAAAAATATTCCAAAATAATTTTACAGCATACTTTCATCTGTAAAAAGAAGCAGCATCCGTTTCACTCATGCCTTTGTGGAGTTTCGTCACCTTTTTGTTCAGGTACTGCTTCATCATCAGGTTTCACCTGAGCAGTGGGCTGAGAGCTCCCAAAACTGTTCATGAGCACTGTTTCTTGGTTTTGGGGATCAGTTTCTAGTGCTGTTTTTGAAGAAATTTCATTAGGAAGAGTAAAAGAAGGTAAAGATGATGCTGTAGGCAGAAGGTGGTCCAACTCTGGCTGCCTGGCAGAGCCTTCAGGACTCTTCATTATATCTTCAGGGCTCAAAGCTGTGGTGTTCTCTGGGAAATCAAGAAGTATGTCATAAAGCAAAGAACCAAACACACCAATTCCTGTCAGTGCCTCTGGTTATGGTGCCCAAAAGAATCAGACTGAATGGCAAGCCTCTGACGGGCACAGCACACAGATTCACAGCTGCCAAATACACCAGCTGCATTTACTCAGCTCTGAGGTCTCTGAGCTCAGAGGTCTGGAAACCCAAAGTACACTTACCAAAATAAGCAGAAGGGTCACTGTTTGACATGAGCTTTTCAGTGCCTACAAAAGAGCCTGCTGCTGGCATGCTGAAGGAGGCAGAGGAAGAAATGCTGGACACGTTTGTTAAGTCAGT